ATCTTATATCCAAACCAGTCTCTACTTTCTGAGTCGCCTTCCACTGAGTGAACAGGTGGTTCAAGGATAAAGTTCCCAACCACCACTACAGAGGCCCAGAGAGCAATTCCTGGTACACTTAGCTTGGTCGTTTCTGTAATCCACTAAGCGAATGATTGGTCCACCTAGTTTAGGAGAGCTCTGGCAAACCACACAACAAGAACCACTTGAAGCACAAGTCAAATGCAGGAAATGGGGCTGGATTGGGCGACTAAGACAGGACACGACCAGACAGTCCTTATCCTGGAATCCACAGGGGAAAAGAAAGCCGGGAAGACCAAAGAACACCTGGAGAAGGTCAAGGAATCAAGAACATCCTGGAAGGAAGCAGAGAAGATCGCCCAACACCGAACCAGCTAGAGAAAGTTCATGAATGACCTTTGCTCCCCAAGGAGCAAAAGGGTTTAAGTCAAGTAAGTCAAGTTAGCTTGGTCGTGCTCGCCGACAGGAAGCCAGTGCTGGTTCAAATTCTTGCGGCTCCAGTTAAAAACCATGCCTTTAAAATGATCCAGGTTTTTTAAAGTTACTGTTTCTAACTTTATTACTTATGCCTACTGAATCTGTTTTGAATACTTCTTTATTTTATGACCTATTAATATTAACATAAATACCATCTGCAGGAGAAAGTTAATGAAAATGAAACAAGCTTTGCACACAGCATATTTAATTGCAGATTTGGATTTCAACTTTGATAATGCCAAAAAGTTTCTAAGATTGCGCAGCATGTATAACAAAAAATTATAATTCAACAGCACACCACAGTTGAAAGTAGAACACACACACACACACACACACACACACACACACACACACACACAGTGTAGATAAGACAAAAAGAATAATGAATGCCATGTTGGTTTTTATCACCACAATGTTAACTTGACTGATGGGAAAGCCCATTAAGTAGAGCTAACGGTGTCAATGCAAAAAACATTAAGTGTGAATTATGTTATTAACAACTGCAAGCATTGTCTCCATAATCAAACAACATCTCACTGAGCCACACAAAAACATCAACATCACTCCTCTATGATACTACATCGCATGATTCGATGACACAGAAAGACAATTTTCATTTAGCTTTAGGGTTTTAACCTCAGCAGTGCAGGAGGTCTGCAGCCAAATTGGCACAAGACACTACGATAAATATTAAAATGCATGTGTTACAATAGCAGCCAACAAACTCAATTCACTCCATGTCCACACTGGGAGATGGTCTTTCCTGTAATTATACGATGTGACCACAGAAGATTAGGTAAATTTCTCCGGAAAATACTCTTAAGGCGGGGAAGCACTTCAGGTAAAATGTGCACGGCAGACTGAGATGAGTAAATGGATGTTTTAACCTTCTGTTAATATAAAACTGAATGAAGCTCCTTGTTGCCAGCAGACATGCTGTGAGACACAATATTCAGATGTAATAATTATCATTTTGTTGTGGCTATACGACAAGTCGAAGCGAGACTGGAGGCAGTAAACTTGAGAAGTTTTAAGCCTTCAGCACTAAGACAACACAGCTTAATGCTGCTGAGCAGAAAACATATTTTTCATGTCTTTTTTCCTCTGGACCAGTGATGAATGACTGCTGCAATGGATCTGAATGAGAAATGGAAGTGTGTGTGTATTTGTGCATGTGTGTCTGTTCTTACCAAGAGCGAGAGCATGATGAATTTAAAACAAGCAACAGTCAGTATGTTCAAAATTTTTGTTTAGATTCTTTCATTTCCTGGTGCATGGAGCATCAGTCAGTGCATTAAAGGGTTAAAAAGCTAAGGGGGCATGTAGCGCTTAGAGACTGTTAGTCATTACAGTATGTTCCTTCATTACCTGCTGGATTTCAATATTATGCAACACAAAAGAAATAAATAAGTACATTAGTCTTTACTCGGAGGAAGAAAGCAGTGGGATGATACCACTGTTTCATGTAATAATTATCTCCGCAGCTCAGCAAATTGTTTTGTGCTCTCCTCTGATGTTTTCTCAAATATGGTGAAAATAGAAGTGTAATGAGGGGTACAAAATATCTGCATTTCAGAGACATGTGCACTTTCTTCACTTTAAGAAGAGAGCTTAGCTACTGATATATGGATTTAATTGGGTGTCAATTCGTTTCTCGGTGTTTCCCAGCACAGTCTGGGGCTAATGGCACAAACAGCCGCATCATGTAGCACCAGTTGTCTAGAGCTACCTTTGGAGAATGAGGATATAACCATTAAATATTACATAGCAAACTATTTGAAATGGAAATGTAGTAGTTCTAGCGGTAGATCAACTGGATAAGCTTAATTTGTGTACGTGGGTGCCCGTGCCCATGCACTCATTATACATTTCTTTGCAGTCGAGTCATGAGGCTGTGGTACAATAAAGGCGAGCTGTGAATCATTAGTGACAGTGCACTAAGGTTAAGGAGACTGTCTGTCAAAGTAGACACAGAATAGTTAAGATGCTCGCATGTGGGTGCCTGCGTGTGGGTGGGCAACGAGGTGTGTGCGTGCATTTGCAATATGATTCAACACCTAAATGGATAATTCACCTTGATGTTGTGGAGGCGGTTATCGGTGATTCTCCACTGGGCTAACAATAATACTTCACTGTTTAAAATTCCTATCGGAAAATGTTCTTTTTGCGCGCACCCTCCACAGGGAGGTCTGAGTGCAGCGGTGCAGGGTCATCTACAGGTCAACACTGCTAGAACTAATAAGGAATTCAGAAGCTGGCTTGAGGACATTTCATAAGGGTGGATAATTGCCATATTGGGGGCTTGAACTTGGTTCCTCCAGTTGAAGGATCTTGCTCATCATCATCTTCTTTGTTTCTAACTGAAATAAATAAAATGTTATCGCTTGTTGTTCAAGCGCTCCCAACTTTAGACTTTTAATTTGACTTCATTTATTTTAAATGAGTATTTTATGATGTTTATTTAACCTTGGGCTCAGCAATCATCCTCATCAGTGAGTTATAACCATGCAGGCAACAAAACTCCACCACTGAGCAACTCTGTTTGTCTCTGAGGGGAATTAAAATTCTAATTTGTATTATGATACCAATTTTATTGCCAGCAGTAGCAACAGCTATTACTCATTGATGTGTCTATTTTACAGCATTGTGTTATCTAACATTACTACTGTAACAACATGGCCATCCCTGTCATTATCACCTTAGGACATGAACTGTTTTATCTTTCAGATAAATCCTGAGTAAAGGACCTGGAGATTAAATAGAAGGCGCCTCAAGCCCACTTCAAATTCTCAAACAGCTGTTTAAATAAAGCCAGAAAAAAACTGACAAGTAGCCCACTGGAAGTTTGGACATTGGACTTCAAAATAAAAGCACAAGCTAAAATTGACATATCCTGTGAGATCATGTAAATGTGGCTATTATTCAGTGTAGGGGATGAATAAGCAAACAAATGAACAAACTGCATGGTGTATTCACTATTTGTTTTTCACATCACTATGTTTGTGGTCATGATAAAAAAAAAAAGTGTAGTCTGTATATATCTATGTGCTGGCTGTATCTAAAACATCAGTTTACCCAAAGTTCCTTGTGAACTTTAACAAATTATTACTTTAATAATTAATCCTTTTTGTTTTTTTTTTTTGATTTGACAGACTATTTAAACAATTAAATTAATCTAATTGAAGTTGACTGTTTAATTAATTAAAAAAATGTAGTCTATAAAATGTTGAAAGTAGATTAATGTCTTTCACAAGTTATCACAGCTCTGGAGTGATGCTTTAAATTTGTTTATATATATATGTAAAACCAACTAACCTAATGAAGCCTACTTAATTTAAGAGTGGTGTAAAACTGTGAGAAGCTGCAAATAGCCTGATTTATACTACTTCACTCAGCAAATGTTTTGTACAAATATGACTTACTGTAGTTATTGTCATTGTTATACTATTTTGATCCTTACAGGAGATGACTTTATACGCCAGCTAGGCTCACAATCAAACACAAGGACAGATCACATCTAAACATAAATTACTAAAAGAAACTAAATTGTACTAATAAAGCCATAAAAAACTATGTGTAATGTATAATAAAGATAGAAAATCCACAGATTGTAATGTCCAGTGTGGCTTATATAAAAAAATAGAAATAAAATAAAAAAAAATAAAAAATAAAAATAAATTCAACAGCTCAAAAAACTGCAGTTAATTATTTTTCATCAATAATTTAAGCACAAATTGAATCTCAATTACACTGCAACCAAAGTCATCAACTGTGCTTATTATTTTAGCCTTAAATGTTTTTAGATTTTGGGACTTAAACCCCCTAATAAAATAAAATAAAATAAATTAAAATATATTTTTAAGTAGCCTATATGGAAGTATATACATATATAGCCAAAATATATAAAGTAGCCTATATATATATAAGCATCCCAAAAAATATAAAAATATACAACATAAAATGTACCTGTATGATTATTTAAATATATGTTCACACACATTTACACAAAAATTCATAAATAATTAAAAAAAAAAAAAAAATCAACAGCTCTGAAAACTGCAATTAACTATTTTCCATTAATAATTTATTGATTTCAGCACAAACTGACTTTAAATTACACGGCCACCAAAGTCATCAATCGTGCTTATTATTTTAATCCTAAATGTTTACATGTAGAGACTTACACCTCCTAATAAAATTAAACAAAATAAAATAAAATGAAATAAAATAAATATTTTTAAAACGTAAAAGGAAGTACATGCATATATTAATATATAAAGTAGCCTATATACAGTATATAAACATCGCTAAAAACAGAAAAATAGAAAATGTAAAATGTACCTGTATGATTATATAAATATTTGAAGGCTACACACACATTTACGCAAAAAATAATCCTAAATGTTTTAGATTGAGGAACTTAAACCCCTAATAAAATAAATAAAACAATTAAGTAAATAGATAAATAAAATTACGTATGTGTAATTTATTGGACTACTTACCTTTTTAAAAATTCAGCAGTGACTGTTTTATTTTGGGAATTGTGCCCGGAAGTGTGATAGGTTTTTGTGGCTGACTTGAGGTTGATCTCCGCTGCTCGCGACACAACCGCACGCAGCTGCTTTCATTTTCCAGCGCTCGAGACGCTACGAGGAGAGAGAGGGGAGCTCGCGCCTCATGCTCCAGGGATATTACCTCTGCTGGACTTGAGACCAACACAACAATACGCAGCTTATCTGTGCTCATGAGCACTTAGGTGTTAGTTAGGAGCGCAGTTTGCGGGACATAAACTGCTCTAATGCTCTTAAGTGTTTTTACCAGCGCCGGTTTTAATGTGTTTTATGTGTTTGCGCTCAACAGTCAGGTAGACTTACTGGGGCAGAATTTAACCCGAGTGTCGGCGTGTGATTTATCCCGTGGATGCGGCTGTCGGGGTCGGTGTCTGAGCCCTGCAGGATCAGCCTGTCATAGGGCATGATGATTTCTCTGGCTCTTCACAAGTGGATGAGGAATACTTCACCGGAGATGCTGCTGCTGGTGCCGATACTGTGGCTTTTACCTCTGACTGGAGCGGCTCCGTCTCAGACTACCGAGCAGCTGGACATGGGGGTGGTAAGTTTGACACCTATTTTACCTACTTATAAGCAGGGTGAAGGGGTGGGAAGTTCTTCTACCTGCTTGCTTCAGTGAACACAGGGTGCTGTGTTTATTTATTTATTTTTCTATCATACCCTGCCACAGTGTGGGGCCGTGGGGTGGCAGCTTCTTCCTCTCCTTTCCCACTTGGGCTACTCTTGAACGTCCAGGAAAGAGCAAGTGCTGTCTCCTCTGAATACTTGCTCTGAATTTTAACAGCGCTCTGCAGTCCAATGCACGAAGCAGAGGGACGGTGCACACTGCATGATGAGAAATGAAAATGTGCACAGCAACTTTATCTACCTAATTAGACATCCTCCCTTTTACAAATATACATTTTAAACGCACATATATAAAAAAAATCCTGCAAGAAATAAATACATGCATGTGAAGGGATTAGCCTAGGCGTCATATCCACCTCTTTATAGTATGCTGACAGCACATATTCAGTGCTAATATGATAACTGGAGCTCACTGGGAACGATTGAATCCATGAGACATTCAGCTATAGGTTGTTTTATCTGGGCTTGTCTCAGTCACGCCTGTATAAGACCCGAAGCCAAGTTCAGGGGACTGCTGTGATTAAAATACAGGATCTTATACTGTAGTCTGGTGGAGCAGATTGGAGCTCAGTGAAACAGACAGCACCATTAATGAAGAAGCTATTCCCTTAAAGGACCACATGTTTAATTAACAGTGATATCTTAAATTCAATGTATATGTTTTGCATGAGTAATGGAGGAAGTCACATGGATATACATCATCAGAGTTCTACAGCATGTGCAGCACACAAGCTGGGGTTAAGGGAGCAAGGCACCTGCAAATGGGATGAAACACAAAGCTGCATGTACATTATGAGATTCTTCAAAGTTCTCTGCTTTCAAAAACTGATTATCATCTTCATAATTTCGTCTTCATTAAAGCTGCATCTTTCTACTATTTCACTCCTCGGGGCAGTTTTTTGTTGCTGCTCATCCCAAACTTCTGTCTCGCTTCAAACTCTTCTTCTGTCTGAAACCCACGCTTGGGGGATTAAGTTTTTCCTCTACAAAGACTTGCACCAAAATAGATCACTTTCTATTGCTTTGCTTGTTTTTGGCTTCAGGTTTATTCGTCCACCTTTTTGACTTTTTTCAACTAACACAACAGACAATTTAGTTTTGAGGTTATAATTTTTGATCTAGTTTAGACTGTGTGGGCGATACAAGGAGGATTTCAATATAATCAAATAGTTTGTAGGCTACATTATTGTGTACAGAAGTTACATAATGTTAGAGATTGTTTTTAAGAGACAACAGCACACACACTTCGCTCAGTAAGCTTACGTTGACCACATTTTCTATCAGTGTGAAATACCCAGACTCACTTTTGTTTGATATATATAACAACTGTTGATTCATTTACCAAGTACTTTTGCTTCTGAAAAAATGCTGAACACGGGGTATTAGAGAATCAGATGAATGCCGGTTTCGTGGTTCAGAACCTGCGTCAACAGTCCGTCTTTTTCAGTACTGTCATATCTGTATTTTGGGGTGAGGTTAATTGATGAGTTTACACCTGGAGCTTGATCTCTTCTCGTTGGTGGATGTTACAGAAACAAAGATTTATACTGTTAGTTTAACTCTATCAAATACCAGTTTATTTCGGAAGGATATTATACAAATAACAAAGGTTATTTAAATGGATGGGAAAAGTTTATTGACTTTTTAACTAATTCATCAGACACTTTAGTTTTGAGATCATAATTTTTGATCTAGGTTAGACTGTGTGGGTGATACTAGAATAATTTAATATAATCAAATACTGTGTAGGCTAACATATTGTGCAAAGAAATTACATAATGTAAGAAATTGTTCTTAAGAGACAACAGGACACACGCTACGCCCAGTAAGCTGATGTTAACCACGTTTCCTATCAGTGTGAAATACCCAGACTCACTGCTGAGGCAGATGCCAACAACCCTGACATCAGGACATGGTCTGTTGCTCGTTCACTCTGAATCCATTTTTTCTGTTTTTCCAAAAGGTCAGTTTGGCCACACCTGACAGGATTTTCATTACAACCTGTACACTCTTCTGTCTTGCTGTGTGCTTCAGCCACAAAAAGCCAAAGCCTTGAAAAAGCCGGTACATTAACAGAATGGCCCTCCCACCCTTGACCTTCTTGTCTCGTTTTGTTTTCCAGTTGCAACATCATTCAATGCTTTATCGCTTTTCACAATAGCCCTAGTTTCCTGCTTCGTCTCAGCATTTGTGAATTAGTAAGAGAAAAATATCATGGGAGCTCATCATTTTCTATCAGTGAAAACATCTCTTGTGTATCTGTTTTTCTCTCTCTCAAATAAGTTGTAAAGCAGAGGGGTTAAGTTCAGGATTATCAATAAAGCTTGGGTAAACAGTTTTACTGTACCGTCATCGGGCAAAAATCACATAATAAAATTTGACCATATTGTAATACAAGTGCACTGAGAGAAAACTAGACTCCTGTAACTCCTTGACTCAGTTTTCAGGCTTTAGAAAATCTAGGTCATGACGGGAGACTTTGGCCAGTCACAGGTTATATCAAAGAGAGGGCGTTCCTATTGGCTGCTCCACAAATGCAGATGTGCGTGAACGTCCCTTCGGTGAAAGGCTGATTCAGTGGCGGAGAACCCTGCAGAGAAAGTTGCTCTTCCAGCTAGGGTTGGGCGATATGTTAAAAATTTCCAACCGGCCACCGTCAACCCATCACCCGGCGGTTGCCGATATATTCGGCAGTTGTGTGTGTGGCGGAGAAAAAAAAAAGAGGGGGGATGTTGCATTCATGTGATGTCGGAAAGAATCGAAAAATGACTTTCAGAATGGGATAATTCACATTAACGCCACCTCATGTCAGAAAAACAACTCGGCAACTCGGATCTCCCGACACCAAATGAATGCAGCAAAAAAATGCAGCGTGCTTTGCGAGCCCACTCATGTCCAGCATGGCACGGAAATATCTGTGCATACCGGCAACAAGCACGCCATCAGAGAGGGTGTTTAGTACGGCTGGTAACATTGTTACCATATGCGCATATGAATTCACGTTACGGCCGGGTTCCACCGGCTGCAAACGTAAGCATCACGTCAAGCGTCTTGTTTACCGTTTGCTGAGCCATGATAGTTACAGCATTTCCCACCTAAGTTATTACATATATTTGAGTAATCTACAAGTTTACTGTACTGTTTGTCATCTACTCGCTTTCAAATGTCCGCCACGGACATTTACACAATGTCATGGATAAACATGGGTAAATGAATGAAAATGAAAATCATCACATATCACCTCTGATAATATTCATATATCAGATATTCATATTCATTTAAAAACACACTGTGCTCGCTTAGCACACTATTTCATGTAGTTTTTATCTGCTGGAGGGTCGCGTAAGGGAGCGTAACGCGACAAAAATAGAAGAGCCTCCTAAAATAGAGAGTTGTCGCGCCGCTCCCGTTGTCGGTGCAGCCGCTGTAATTGATTAACGGGGGCGAGCTGCTACGGGACTCGCGTTGCAGACGTGTCGCACCGCTCCCGTTGCCGGTGGACCCCGGCCGTAACTTTCAGCTCCGCCATCACTGACGTGTTTTGTGAAAGACTCGTCGGAAATCAGTGTGAAGCTGCCTGTTCCAATACGCACACACTTGAATTGTGCTCTACATAGTTATTATGGACTATATGTACCGAGTTTAATTCTGTGGAGACAGACCATTAATGTAGCAAAATAAAATGACAAAAATCGCCCAAAAAAATCGCCAAAAATGAAACCAACCGTGATGGACTCAGCTGATGGGCGATTGGCGATATATTCGTCCAATCGCCCAAGCCTACTTCCAGCATTGGCAACAACTGCCTACACTGCAAAGCAACCCAAAAAGTTAGCCTAAATTAGAGTCTAAAAGAGAGTCTGATGGCAGTGTTTCAGAGATGGATGGTAAGGTTGCTAATAGTTTAGCATTCTGATAACCGGAACCAAAGGCTCACAGTGTTCATATTTACATAGCTAACGTTAGCTAGAACCTTGACTCACAGTGTGTCCTCCGCCTCACTCCCCGCCACTACAGACCACCTCGCTGGGAAGAGAGCAGGCAGCAGTTCCAGAGATGGACCCCCAGTCAGTAGCCACAGAAACCACAAAACCCCAGGTCCAGGGGACCGGACTGCTCCGACTCCCCACTCAATCAGAAAACTATCTGCTGCTGAGACCTGGCACTGCCGCTACAGTTGCCGACTGAAGATGCGGGGCTGCTTCATGCTCCGCTCCTTGCTAAATAGACCACAGCGGCAAGGAGTGAGGTGATTAGACCATGGGCTTGCTTCATGTTCATCTTTATGTAGCTAATGTTAGCTAAAACCTTGAATTACAGTGTGTTCTCCGCCTCACTCCCCACCACTACAGACCACCTTGTGGGGAAGAGAGCAGGCAGCAGCTCTGGAGATGGACCCTCAGTTAGTGGCTGCAGCAACACAAATCAAGCCACC